TATGATATACAACTTATTTACTTACGCTGTTATTACCTTTTCTGAAAATGAGAGTTTTCCCCTTAAAACTTATTTTCTCTCACTTAAAACCCATCCTCTTTTATTTTTCAGACTTAAATCCTATTTACTAGAGTCCAACTAAGCAAATTTTCTTAACAAGCTTGGTATGTCAGTTTTTATAATTTTTATATTCCTAAAATATTCTCATAAAATGTAATGTGGGTTAGGTTTGACTTATGATTAATAATAAATTTTGCATTTTATTGTTTTCAATGCAATTAAATGTCAATAAACCTATTATTTTGACACACCCCAACCTGTATCAGGGCATGCTGGCCGTCACGTGGAAGTGACGTAGCTATGTGCACAGTGCGGAAGCTAAAGGAAATAATATAAAAGTACGAATAATTTAAAAACAAGCAAATATAAGGTGATCAAGTATGTGCTAGCAAAAGTAAGACGCTGAATTCAGAGCTTTAAGCCTACAGCAGTCCAAAAGAAACAATACAACAAAAGTGCACCCGAAGGTGACCCTACGTAGGTGAGTGTCTGTCAGAATGCCGGGACGTCCTCCGGGAAAACCACCAAACCCGCTAAGCTACTAGAACCTGGAGGGGCGCAAAACAAAAGCGTGAGTGGGCAAAAACCAAATCTTTGAAAATCATTTCATAAAATGCATTCTAACCCCTCGCCGTAAAACCTGTATACTTCCCAGAAAATAAACACATATATGTAGATATACCAAGTCATGCTCAAAGGTATGCCATTTCGAACCCTCATAACAACATGCAAGTGCTCAGGTATAACTCACATCAATAGCATAATAAACTGGCAGCCGGAGTCCCCTAAGTGACCTGTACGGCTGAATCTAGAGCTCAATCTCGACTAAATCACTAAACCTGTCCACGAGTCGAAACCACCTATAGTGGTCTGTACGACAGGCCTGGGTGTAATACATATGAACGCTCTAGTGCTACGATCACGTGAAGGCTGTGCGAATAATCGCGGGTCACCTACGAGTCGGAACCACCTATAGTGGTCTGTACGACAGGACTGTGCACCTAACTTGGATTCAAGTTGAGCGTGTGGTGCGGGAGGTGAACAACACGTGAAGGACTGTGCCCTACTCGGGGCGGGAGCACTAACACCGGGGTACAGGTTATGAGCTCTCTAAGCACCTCGAATCATTATTTAATGCGAATGTTAAACAACGCTTACCTGGCACTTACCTATGCCTCCACATCACCAACAAATATATAGGTGACATATGCATAATCGAATGTATAATTAAACGTATATGCCACTAATCATGCATAACCATCAATCATATAAAAATAATGGCGTAAAACAAAGCATTTACTAATTTCTGGGAAATAACATGTATATAGGTATATACGGAAAACAAAAGCCCACTCACTGGTATGTGGAAGGGTCGTAGCCCCCCTGCCTCGAATGTGCACGCTCGTCCTCGGGATACGTGTCACCTATATGCGAATTAACTATAAAAACGTTAACTTTAAAGCACATAACCGTCCGTTCAAAATAACTTCTCAAACATTGCTCAAAATGGACAAATGAATATACCAACGTGATCTACACAACCTCACGATCACACCCATAATTTTAAAATAATTTTTGGACTTCCCACGCGCCCTCACGCGCCAAGACAGACACGGACCCACGCGCCCCCACGCGCGGTCACGTGCCATGCACACTGACGGCGTCAAGTGACGCCGTCAGGAATATTCCCTTAACCCCAATGGAATATTCCGTTAAACCTAACTGACGCCGTCACTGCCGTTAGGAATATTCCGTTAAACCTTAACGGAATATTCTCCCTTCTTCTCCGATCAACCCCCCTCGCTGGCGCCGTCGCCGGAAAACCTGCAACTCGCCATATCTCGCTCGTTTTTCCACCTTTTTTCACGTTTCTTGCACCAAAATGACGCTTAGACCTAGGAGAATCACGATAGACTAGTTTTAAGGGCTAAAAACTATGCAATCATACCTGTCCACGAAATCAAAAACCGGCTAACATCGTACAGGACGATCCCGACGTCCAAATTAGCCCAACGAGCTACTCCCAAGCTCCTGGGAACCTCACAAGGACATCTACGAGCCTAAAAAGTCCAAAAACCAACTAGATTAAACTTGCATGAATAGTAACCAAAACTGAGCTCGTGAAATCGACGTGAAAACGTCAGAGTTCCTACCTGAAAATGGTACCACTGGACTCCCCTCGGCCTCACGAGTTCGATGGTGCAGTTGGTTCCCTCGATCCGTGCTGATTTGGGTGAGTTTGGTGTTTGTCCGTACGTTTATGGTGATAGGAAGGGAGAGAGAGACACGGGAGAGAGAGAGAGGAAGTGACAGAGGGTGAGGGATAGAGATAGGATGTGTGTGTGTGGTCCAACTTTGGCCAACACCACACAAAACAACCAAAAACATAATAAAAACAAACTAGGGGTAAAATGGTCATTTCACCTATGCGTTCGATAGTTTCGGGACGGGGTGTCACAATTTGATTAGGTTTTCTTTTCTCAAATTTTTTTTACCAACAATTGTTTTATCGTGAAACTAACTTACCTTATTAGCATGCAATGTATAATACAAATAAAAATATTATGCTGTTTTACGTTGAAACATGGACAAAAAATTGTGTCAAAAAAATTATACAAAATAATGGTTGTATTTTTTTCTTCTCATAGAAAATAATTTACCTATCTACATGTTAGTAAATATGTCACATCCCGGTCCGGGCGGGACCACTTCCCGGGCCCGACTCCACCATAGCACGATATTATCCGCTTTGGGCCCCCAGCACACCCTCACGGTTTTGTTTATGGGAACTCACACGAGAACTTTCCGATGGGTCACCCATCCTGGGAATGCTCTCGCGCACTACTCGCTTAACTTCGGAGTTCCCATGGAACTCGAAGCCAGTGAGCTCCCAAAAGGCCTCGTGCTAGGTAGGGATGAGAATAGACATATAAGGATCACTCTCCTGGGCGATGTGGGATGTCATAATCCACCCCCCTTAGGGGCCCGACGTCCTCGTCAGCACACCACGACCAGGGTTAGGCTCTGATACCAAATTGTCACATCCCGCCCTGGGGGGGACCACTTCCCGGGCCCGCTCCACCACCGTAGCACAATATTGTCCGCTTTGGGTCCCGACCACGCCCTCACAGTTTTATTTCTGGGAACTCACATGAGAACTTCCCGATAGGTCACCCATCCTGGGAATGCTCTCGCGCGCTACTCGCTTAACTTCGGAGTTCCCATGGAACCCGAAGCTAGTGAGCTCCCAAAAGGCCTCGTGCTAGGTAGGGATAGGAATATACATATAAGGATCACTCCCCTGGGTAGGATGTCACAAAATACTTTAAAAATAATTTACCTAAAAAAAAGGCGTGGTATTGTAAAGATAAAATGTATACGATTACTTTGGATATTATAAGTAATTATATGACAATTTATTTGTATAGGTAAATTAATAAGTAGATTGGTGAATTAGTATGTACTACAAAATTGCAAATAATTAGCTTTTAACAAAAGAATGTAGGTAAATTAGTGAATTTTTAAAGTATGGGTAAACAGTTTGTATCAAAAGAATGTAGGTCAATTAGTTTGTATCAAAAGAATGTAGGTAAATTAATGAAATTTTAAAATATAGGTAAATTGACACACCCCAACCGAGATCAGGGCATGCTGGCCGTCACGTGGAATATTGTGACATCCCACATTGCCCAGGGGTGATCCTTAAATGTATATTCCCATCCTTACCTAGCACGAGGCCTTTTGGGAGCTCACTGGCTTCGGGTTCCATAGGAACTCCGAAGTTAAGCGAGTAGCGCACGAGAGCACTCCCAGGATGGGTGACCCATCAGGAAGTTCTCGTGTGAGTTCCCAGAAACAAAACCGTGAGGGCGTGGTCGGGGCCCAAAGCGGACAATATCGTGCTACGGTGGTGGAGCGGGCTCGGGAAGTGGTGCCACCCGGGCCGGGATGTGACAATTTGGTATCAGAGCCTAACCCTGGCCGTGGTGTGCCGACGAGGACGTCGGGCCCCTAAGGGGGGTGGATTGTGACATCCAACATTGCCCAGGGGTGATCCTTAAATGTATATTCACATCCTTACCTAGCACGAGGCCTTTTGGGAGCTCACTGGCTTCGGGTTCCATAGGAACTCCGAAGTTAAGCGAGTAGCGCACGAGAGCACTCCTAGGATGGGTGACCCATCGGGAAGTTCTCGTGTGAGTTCCCAGAAACAAAACCGTGAGGGCGTGGTCGGGCCCAAAGCGGACAATATCGTGCTACGGTGATGGAGCGGGCTCGGGAAGTGGTGCCACCCGGGCCGGGATGTGACATAAATAGTTTGTAATACGTGGTTTTAAAATAGGAGCTCATTGAGCATAATTGAAGGTGAGTAATAATAATATTTATTGACATATTTAGGGCATTGTGGCATAAGTTGTAAATATTTTATAAGGATAGGTCATTTATTTCCAAACATGGAAGGCTATTTGAATTTTGGATTTTATTTGGATGTTTATGTGTGGTGGGTTTTTGTCTAGACAATAAAAATTACAAAGGTCTATATCTAAACAACTCTTAACTTTTTCACATGATAATACATGATTTTTTTAATAAATGATATGGAATTTACACTAAATTCATCTAAACTACGCAGAAAGAGATTCGAACTTGAAACCTCAAATTTATGGGGAATGCTTTTAGCTGAGCTACAAGCCAAGCCAATTACCATGACAGTACATAATTGACTTTGGATTTTACTATCATATAAGATCATCTCTAAGACTCCAACAAAGGAAATCCCATTAACCTAGTTTATACACTAAATGGAATTGTACTGTCCATATGTTGCCACATGAAGGCATTGGAGGCCACTGATTTTAGATGGACTAAATATCAGACGACCAACTCATCCATCTGAGATTCTGAACGGTGAGATGGACCGTGGATGACAGTTTTCAAAACTCAACATCAACCAATCAATTTTGGTTAAGATTTTATATGCCAAAACCAAAACTAACACAACCACTACAACCTTAGCAGCTCAGCCACAAAATGAGCAGCACACAACTTTCAGACCAAATCTTCCGGCCATTAATCCCCGCCGCGTGCGTCAGTTTCCGGCGGCTGAGCACCACCAAGCCCAAACTACTGCCCTGCCCACGCCCTAAATCTTTGAAACACAAACACTTAACGCAAAAATCCAAGTGGGCTGTTAGGCTAAGCTTAGTGGACCAAGGCCCGCCAAAATCAACGTTTGACGTGGAACAGCTAGTAGGGTTTTTGTATGAGGATCTGGTTCATCTTTTTGATGATCGGGGAATTGATAGGACGGCGTACGATGAGCGTGTCAAGTTCAGGGACCCAATCACCAAGCATGACACAATAGCTGGGTACTTGTTGAACATAGCCTTCTTGAAGATTGTGTTCACGCCTAGGTTCCAGTTGCACTGGGTCAAACAGGTAACGAGTTTTGCTTACTCTGTTGTTCAGTTATTGGGATCTTGGAATTGTTTATATATTCATTTCATTTTAGTTTAAGTATCTAAGGGAGCATTTCAGCGACTTTATAATAATAAAATGAGAAGATGTAAGTTACGCCAGTGGTCATGACAGAATGTTTGCTCATTTATACTCAAGTTCGAATTCTATTCCCGTAATTAGAGTATAAGAATATCACTTTATGTAAAAAAAAACTAATGAAATGGGGTGTAGCCGTGTAACTAGCATTTTACATCTTATCTTTTTTTTTTTTTGTCTACTTTGTTGGGGGAAATATTTGAGGCAGGTCAAGTAACTATCTGCGTTAGAGAAGCAATGCCTTCATTTTAAAATGGTACACTTGAAATTTGCAATTAAGCATTCATGTTGATCACCTTTGAAGAATGCTACAATTTCATATGGACTGTGCCTGTTTTTGCTGACAAAGCTGCTATAGACAGGACCATATGAAATCACTACAAGGTGGACTATGGTTATGAAGTTCATCCCTCTGCCTTGGAAACCAGAATTGATCTTCACAGGAACCTCTGTCATGGGCATCAACCCCGAGACTGGGAAGTTCTGCAGCCATGTGGTAGGAACTCTCCTGTCTAATGTTGTTATTGTGTTGATTTGGTAATATTGATTATGTATTTGATAGCACATCAGGTACGTTGTACTACTGAGATATTATCTATCAATGCTATCCACGTCTTATAAAAAGCATTTCAACAGTTGGTTCTGTAATACAGAACAAATGTCATGTCCATCTTTAATAACTTTAGTAATTCACCATCCTTTGATGTGTAGGACTTCTGGGATTCTATAAAGAATAATGACTACTTTTCTTTAGAAGGTTTGTTGGATGTATTCAAGCAGGTATTGCAGTCTCATTATTCACTTGCAAAAACTTTAAACCTTACATTTGTAGAGATTCTTACCCTTTTTGCATGTAAAACTCTCTGCAGCTGAGGATTTACAAAACTCCAGACTTGCAAACACCCAAATATGAAATACTAAAAAGAACTGCAAACTATGAGGTGTGTTTGCCTTTCCTCGAACAAGCCATGTTGGATTCGTTAAAACTTAAACCCACGCTTGGTGCCTAGGATTGAATTACCATGAATGTCTTGATTCCACAGGTAAGAAAGTATGCACCTTACGTAGTGGTAGAAGGACCAGTAGACAAGCTGTCCGGGTCAGCTGGTTTCGGTGATGTTACCGGGTAAGTGGTATCCCAAGCCTATCATTTTTTTTTTTTTTTTAAACTTTTTTTTTTGGTTCTTCTTCACTTAGGAATGTTTGGATAATGGAATCTGTTTAGGTACATCTTTGGAAAGAACTCGAAAATGGAGAAGATACCGATGACTACTCCTGTCTTCACCGAGGCATCTGATGCTGAACTTTCCAAAGTATCCATCAAATTATGTCTTCCACTGGACAAGGGCATAAGCAGGTGAGATTCATTTCTAGGTTTTTCATTGTAAAATCACGATACATTCATACACGATGAAGTTTTACTTTCATTCCATGTGAGTAGCTAGTAACAAGAAAAATCTCTGCACAGCTTACCAGATCCCAATCAAGAAACAATTAGCTTGAAAAAAGGTGGAAGGAGGCATTGCTGCCGTTGTCAAGTTCAGTGGAAAGCCTACCGAAGAGATTGTTCGGGAGAAGGAAAAAGCGTTGCGTGCTAGTCTGACCAGAGATGGTCTCAAACCAAAGGAGGGTTGTTCGCTTGCCCGTTACAATGATCCAGGCCGAACTTGGAGCTTTATGTTGGTATGTTGCAGTAACCTCAAAGCTCAATAATTATTAGAAATCACTAGTTATCTTGCTATTATTTGGTTACAAATTAAGGGTTTTTCTTTTAGTTTTGAAACCTGATTGTTATTATGCTTTTATTTTGCACTCTGACTTTTGATCTTTGAATTTGTGCTGGGGTTGATTTGCATCGAAGAGGAATGAAGTACTGATAGGGCTGGAAGAGTTCACATTGGATTAGCATATCCAACATGTTCTTCGACTAACTCTCCATGTCAATGAATCTTCTCAACATGCACGGTAAGAGTTCATTTTTTGGCTAACAAGGTACTAGAGGAGTTTTCTTTAGAAAACTATGATCTGATACCATGTAGAATGATGAGATTATATTCATATCTTAATGTACATATTTACACAAGTCATGACCTGAGATACAAGTATGGTTACTTGATTTATAGATCTAGGACACGTATCCTAACCATAGAATCCTTAGCACCCTACCCGCCATGCGTAGCCAGGGTGGGTAGCAAATAACGAAGAAAAAAAAATCCATAGAATCCTCAACGGATTCTCCCTATGTAACATCTTCCCATTGATGGCTTCTATCGAATCGATATATTCACATTGCCCAAAGTTGTCCTCTGAATTGTGAGCTATTCTGTTTCATTTGCAGCTTCAAATATGAAATCATCTAGCAAATTTCAAAACAATCTGTGTTACCTGAACCATAAGAAAAAGACTTTCATGCAACGAGAATGCCACGCTGACAATATTGTCAAATCAATTATATATTGTCACATAAAAAGGTTTAAACGCATAACAATGTGTGATTGGTTTGAGATATCATCATAATGATATTCTTGTTGCAAGTCAGTCTCGAACAATAAGCCCTATAAGGCAGATGTGTGACCTTTGGACTCTTGACAATTGGAAAGGGCACAAGCAGCCCTACCTGTGCTTAATGCCTAAGGCCATGTGCATCTGCGAGTTTGCCAAAATGCCAACCCAGGCCAACAAAGTTGGTCACATTACCTTTCCAACTGCTGACAAGGGATGCTTCATATGTAGTAGTCATAAATTCAAAGTAGATTCGAAGCATTTTTAAACCAACAAATTCAGAACTTTCTGATTGCATTTACAATTGTACTCTGTGATATAATCATGTGTACGTATGTTATGGAATAAAGGTCAGTATTGAAGATAATTCATTAATGCCCACTTCGGTGGCTCATGGATGAGAGAACAACTTACATGTTAGGAGTATATCGTCACTCAGCGTTCTGTTTTAATGAAATAAAGATATGTGAATTGATACTTACACATATTTATTGACACAAATCGTCATTGTAACAGTGTATATGTATCATGTAAGTTTTTCTACATGAATAAAAATAGAAGAATAGCTTGGCACGTGGGTCCCATTACAGCTTAGTCTCCCACTCCAGTAATGCCATGTGGAGCCATATGGCATGAGCGGGAGAGAGAGAGACAGAGCCAAAGACAGAGAGTTGTATCCATGTGACCAACTCATCGACCTTTATACTAATTAAGCTGAAAAGAATGGTGAACAAAACGTATTATACATTGTAGTAAAAATAGTCGAATGGAATTTAATATCATGCATGCTTTGTACATGACGCCTCACGACTGCCGGTGCAATATCTCAATTTTAATATATTTTTAATACATTTCTTAATACTCGATTATGAATGTTACTCATTAATATCATAACTGAATAATATTCTTCTTTACTTATAAGTATAAAATTTTAAGTTCAACTCCCATGAATAATCATAATATATAATGTTTGTGTTGACTTTTTACATGACTTAGTCCAGAATATGGTTGTGTAAAAGAAAATACTCGATTGTGATATTTAATTATGTAAAGAGGCTTTATGATCTAACTGGAATAGTTTCAGAACGTTTTTACTCGATCACTATGGTTTCTTACGAATGGGAAGGAAAGAAAGAGGGAATATGGACAAAGTCGATAAAGTGATCTCAAAATTTTGGCAGCACTTTTCTTATCAACTTTTCTTGTACGAGTAATTATTGGGTTTTCAATACTGCATCATCATGTGTTGTTACAAATTTAATTATTAAATTAACAATATTTTCAAATGTTGTAAACCTTCATCAAGCTGAAACTCTGCCCAAATTAAGTGAAACTAAAGATCTCAAAGAGTTCATTAAACGTTAATATATTTTTTACCTAAGATGATATATGAACACACGGATTATAATATAAGTTAACTGTTCATCACATGACACTTAAGATTGATAAGAATATATTGGACGTCATTTCACATTCGTAGTTAAAAACAACCACAAATTTGAAAAATTAAAAATGAAAATTCAAAAAGGACTCTTCCAACACACAACACAACAAATTACGGAAATTTCTTTGGGTTGAGAATAAATAAAATGATCCAATGGATTGAAATAAAAGTGAAAGTTTGATAAGAAGATGATGAAGATGTTCGAAGTCAAATGTCCAAAAGCCAGCTAGATTGCTCGTTGCGCCGCTTTGTAAACGCCGAACGCGTACTCTTCCCCACTTTCATATCTTCTTCTCCTCCTCCTCAGCACCTCCTTATTTATTTTAACCTTAAAATTAATTAATAATACACAACTCACCTCGCTCCCCGTCTCTCCACACGCCCTCCCTAATTATAGTCTAATCCCCAATTAACATTTTTCAAATTAGTTTCTTCTTTATTACCGTTTGGACCTCGCAGGCTCGCACGTTCTCCTCTCTCTCTCTCTCTCTCTCTCTCTCTCTCTCTCTCCGTTTCTATTTGGCTTCTGTGGTGGCATTCTGAGATCTGGTGGTGGGATCTGACGATCGAAGGTGAGTTTTTTCATCTGGGTTTTTGCTTCATTGAGGATGGTTTTTGCTTTTTGCTGTGAAATTTGATTCGAATTTTTGAAAAGTTTAATGCTTGATGTAAATCTGCATCTGGGTTTTGTGTGGTTATCGTTGATCTTTGAAAAAATACAGTGCTTGATGTAAATCTGTATATGGGGTTCGTGGGATTATCCTTAATCTTCGATTAGTTCTAGTAATTTCTTTTTCTTTAGAACATTTTCTATAGTAAATTCTGATCTGGGAGTACTTTGTTATAGGTAAATTTAATCCGCAAATGATAAGAAAAACAGAAAGTTTAGAACTTTCCGGAATCAAAGTCTGAAAGTGAAGAGCTTTTTTTTTATCAGTCCTTGGATGTAAAAGCCGTTAAGTTTTTGCTTTCACTTTAAAAAAAAAAAAAAAAAAAAAAAAAAAAAGACAAGGTGATATCACTGATATGTAGGTGCATTTGTGTAAATCAAACATTTTTTTATCGTGGCTAATAAAAGTGATAGAAATTGTGTATTTTTAAGGCTTTTCTGGCCCAATTTCTATTGAAAATCTGTTCGAATTGAGGTGTGTAGATATATATTGTTATAGCTTTGTTCTTGTGCTTTTAGAATTGACTGTTGTTATGATCTTGAGGCGCATTTAATCTGATCCATTTTGTTGTATATTATCTATCAGGGAAAAATGGCAGACCCAAAACCAGACACACCTTTGATCCCACCATCTTCGTCGTCGTCGTCATCATCCTCGTCGCGAAACCTCCCCGACTTCAAAAAATCTATTAAGCTAAAATATGTGAAGCTTGGATACCATATCCTCATCACCCATGGAATGTACCTCTTTCTTTCCCCTCTTGTTGTCGTTATTGCTGCCCAGATTTCGACATTTTCTCTCAAGGATCTCTATGATCTTTGGGAGCATCTCCAGTATAACCTGATTTCAGTGATTATCTGCTCTACTCTCCTTGTTTTCCTGTCCACTGTCTACTTTGTAACCCGACCTCGCCCGGTGTACCTTGTTAACTTTTCCTGCTACAAACCAGAAGAATCTCGAAAGTGCACGAAAAAGATTTTCATGGAACAGTCCCAGATGACTGGTACATTTACAGAGGACAATCTTCAGTTCCAGCGAAGGATCCTTGAGAGATCCGGCCTTGGTGATTCGACTTACCTTCCAGAGGCTGTACTCAACATTCCTCCAAATCCGTCAATGAAAGAAGCTAGAAAAGAAGCCGAGGCTGTGATGTTTGGTGCCATTGATGAGCTTTTGGCTAAGACAGCTGTAAAACCTAAGGACATTGGAATCTTGATTGTGAACTGCAGCTTGTTCAATCCAACCCCATCTCTTTCTGCCATGGTTATCAACCATTACCAGCTTCGAGGGAACATAGTCAGCTACAATCTTGGTGGGATGGGATGCAGTGCAGGTCTGATCTCGATTGATCTTGCTAAAAATCTTCTTCAGGTGCATCCCAACTCTTATGCACTGGTTATCAGCATGGAGAACATCACCTTGAACTGGTACTTTGGAAACGACCGCTCAAAGCTTGTCTCAAATTGCTTATTCCGTATGGGAGGGGCTGCTGTATTGCTTTCAAACAAAAGCTCAGACAAAAGAAGGTCCAAGTACCGATTGGTTCATACAGTTCGTACCCACAAGGGTGCTGATGATAAGTGCTTTAGCTGCGTTACCCAAGAAGAAGACGATAACGGGAAGATTGGTGTTACTTTATCAAAGGATCTGATGGCAGTAGCAGGTGATGCTCTAAAGACCAACATCACCACATTGGGCCCTCTTGTGCTGCCAATGTCTGAACAGCTGCTTTTCTTTGCTACATTGATTGGGAGGAAACTGTTCAAGATGAAGATCAAACCATACATCCCGGATTTCAGACTGGCTTTTGAGCATTTCTGTATTCATGCTGGGGGAAGAGCTGTCTTGGACGAATTGGAGAAGAACCTTCATCTATCAGATTGGCATATGGAGCCATCGAGGATGACACTTTATCGATTTGGAAACACCTCAAGCAGCTCTCTTTGGTATGAACTAGCTTACACAGAAGCCAAGGGAAGGATGAAGAAAGGAGATAGAACATGGCAGATAGCTTTCGGGTCAGGATTCAAGTGCAACAGTGCTGTGTGGAAGGCTCTTAGGAGCATAAACCCCGCAAAGGAAAAGAACCCGTGGATGGAAGAAATTGATCGGTTCCCAGTTGATGTTCCAAGGGTGTCAACCTTCTAATTTGAAGTGATATTTCTCATTCTTATGCCGTCGGATTTAGGCGGCTTTTGCCAGCTTCGTTTCTGATTGGAGGTCATAGAATTGGTTTTCTTTGCTTTGTCATGTTTGGAGGTTTACTTTTAGGGCAGGTGTTTGGTTTAGGGTGGGAGGGCAGCCAAATTTCACTTATTTACAAAGGGGGATTGTCTGAGGAATTATATTTACTGGTATTTTTAGGTCATTAAATTCGAGCATTTCGAAATAGGATTCGGGGTTGTGGAAGGATTAACATGTTGTAAATCATTTTTTGGATAATTGGGAGATCGAATTGAAAGTTTGAACTTAATAGACTTTAGCACTTGGTTCCCTCTTTATTTTGATTTGTTTTGATTTCTTTGGTGCGAGGTTTGACACTATCACGATTCACCAACCATGCATGGGTTTTAGCACAAGTGCCCCCCAAAAGCGCTTGCGAGTAAAAGCGCTTTACAAAAAGTCCGAAATTGGCACTTAAGTTTTCGTTTTTCACCTCATAGCATATGAAATGGGCAAAAATGAACACCATCTGCTACCAAATTCATCCAAATCACAGATTGGTACATCTCCTTATAAATAACAACAGGTCGTCCAAACATGTCTCCGGTAGAATCATGACACTGTCACATGATGACCGATTTCTTGAAGTAAGCCTACGATTTAATAAAAAATGTCGGATGATGACATACAGAATCGAAAAGATTATATGTCATTAAAGTCACGAAGAGGCTCTGTTCCTTGTAGAAGCACTCTTCTGGAGCTGTAGTCCGTTTGTAGTAGCTACTCCTTGGTCGACTTGTTGATAAGTGACTTGTGAATGTGAGGGATCACACCTCCACCAGCAATGGTTCCCTTGATCAGGGTGTCGAGTTCCTCGTCACCACGAATAGCAAGCTGCAAATGCCTCGGGGTGATGCGTTTCACCTTGAGATCCTTGCTCGCATTGCCTGCCAACTCTAACACCTCAGCAGTAAGATACTCCAAGATAGCTGCAGAATAAACTGCGGCAGTTGCTCCCACTCTCCAATCATTGAGTGCACCAAAAGAAAGAGTGCACCTAGCATTTACGGTTCTAATTCTACTTAATCCAATCATGAGTTCTTATTGTAAAAAACCAAAACAAAACTCATTCAATCCAAATGGCATCCCAAAGGAAGCTATATTCACCTCTAATGGTTGCTCAAACAACTGAAACATTCAAGTCTTTCACTATATGATTCATGAAACCCCAACTGTTATAGTGATAAGATTTACCGCCAAAACAAGCAAAAGCCCGAGTCAAGTTTCCATCTTTTTACCTCTTATTTCACAAATTTACTCAAAACCCCTCCTGAACAAGCAAAAACCCAGATAATCTCAAAACCCCAAACACCAAAATCAAGAAAGCGAAGGGGGTAAAGGAGTAAACTAACAACCTGAAGGCCGGCGCGGGAGGAACGAGAGATGGGTTTCTTCTTGTCCTTCGTCTTTGCCGCCGCTGTTGGTGGCGGTCTTGCCCATAATCAGCCCCTTCGCCCCCTTCCCCGACATCTTTTCCCGCGAAATACAAGTACAGGATAACGGATTTTCAGGCGCGTTTTAATATGGGGAAGATTTTAAATTGGATTGTTCGATGATTTAATTGAAATAAATAAAACTCTATCTCTAAGAGCACTCCCTCTCGTTTCTCGTCTCTCCCGATACCAACAATACAGTCGCGATTCGCAAATGGTCCTTTGGAAACAGCCCGACTTATTCAATCCCACCTTGACCAAATTAACCCTCTTACTTTTCTCTATTTACCATGATACCTGTCCTTTTTTCTACTCGAGACAATTTATTTAGGATAATGCTAGGAAAATTAAGAGTATATTTAATTGAGGTTTTAAGAGATTTTAATTTTTTTAATTAATTTAGATGTATTCAGTTAGGATTTTAAGTGAATTTAAAGTGTATTCAATTAGGATTTATGGTAGTTTATTAAAATTCTTAGAAATTTAGTGTATTCGGTTAGAATTTTAAAGAAGTTTATAACACTATAAAGTGTACTTAATTAGGAATTGGTTTTAAAGAATTTAAAAAGTTGATGAATTCGAGATAATTTGAGAGATTTTATAGCATATTTTAGGTCTTTACAAATTTTACCTCCCCTTGATATTTCTAGAGTTTGAATCAAAATTTTATATAGATACTATGTGATTCAATTAAACTCCATCAATCCATTATAAATCCCTCCAAATGCAAATTGAACACATCCGTTAAATTTGTAGACTAAGCTTTGTAAACTAAATGACATAGAACTATTAAAACAAGAATTTAGTTTGCAAATTAGCCTACCTAGCATTACCCATTTACTTATGTCTTGAATTTTTTTTTTTCTGGCTGGTGGATTTTTCTCCCGGATTTTATTTCCCGTCACTAAATAGACAAAATCGAGCCAATTTTGTGGCAAAATTTAAATTTCAGATCTTAAAATTGAGTTCCAAGGGACAGCGCAAAAAATAACCTTTCGAATTTCTCCGAGGAAGATCTTGAAAATGAAGGTAACAACTAAACAAGGCACTGGCCAAATACAAAATTCCAGGTTTCTTAGATTCATCAGTTCCGGAAGCGTTCCGATCAATGTCTTGCAAATCGGCTATAACAGAAATGGGGGCGATATCGGGTCTTAATTTTTAGGTAATCTGAATAGCAGTAACGATTCATTTGTCCGGTCGACATTTCGGTAACGAAAAACAGTGAGCTAAAACTTGTACAAAAATTATCGTTTTAGTCTATGTAATTAAGTAATCAAAGTAGGATGGATAGATCGTCAACTATGACAGGCATGGGCTACAAATACTCTTGGACCAGTTTACTCATTCCCTGCCGCCTCTTCCTTCTCTTTCGCTTTCCCCTCGTCCGTGATGTGGAAGCCCTCAATCTTGCGAGAAACCTCTTCCGCGGGTACTTTCACGTTTCCAACTGGTCCATTTGCTACCAGTGTTTCGGTTTCTTCTGGAGTCAAAGGGGTCTGCCATATTCTTATGGTTCCATCTTCAGATCCCGAGGCATATGACTCCCCTCCGGGCGAGAAACGCAGACAGTGAACAGGACCGTGGTGACCCTTGTTGCATGCTGCATCAAGACAAGGTGGATTAATTGAGGGTTTATAATAAGAAACCAACAACAGCACCGGACACAAGTACAAACTCAACCTACAATGGCTCAAAAGAGCAAGATAACCTAACAAGTAGTCTATTGGAATTATATTGAAGGTATGGAACTGAATCCTGACTATACGAGGGACTTTAAGAGATGTTTAGTTCATATTGCCAGCTAAGCATTGGCACCGAAGGATTTTTGTTTTCGAGCACATACCGATCTCTTCACCAGTATGGAAATCAAACACATGAACCCACATATCTTCTCCCCCAGCAATGAATTTGTTCCCAAACTTTGGCTCCAGCGAAGCTGATTCTACTGTGCACGGCATATTGTAGCTCTTCACCAACCCAAAGCTGGAAAACAGTTAAATTATCATAAGTCATCCAAAGCAGAAAACTCTGGAAAATATAGAACAATCAAACTGATAACTTACTAGTTGGCATCCCAAAACTTCACAGTCGACCCATCAGCAGTAGTAATATAACGACCATCTTGACTAACTTCAGAACTGGTCACAGATGATTTGGTCTCCAGTGTTTGGACTATTTTACCAGTTCTTACATCCCATAATCTGTAAATTTACCAGTCACTACCAAGTTTAGTAAAGAATAAGGTAAGAAATATAGTGTGCAATACAGGAAATTTAAAAGAAGCAGCTTTAACATCAGATGGTTTTACAAACATGCATACCTAACACCTCCCATATCAGTACAAGAACTTAGTATGGTCTGGTCACTGTGGAGCCACGCAGCAGTTCTGACTGAGCCTGGGGATTTATCCACTTCTCTTGGAGGGGCATCCGGACGATTCAAATCATATATACGGATAACTTTCTCGACTCCCCCGGTTAGCAAAAGGTGTGTATCCTGTTACCATTTCAATAAGAATCAAATGAGATTACAAAAGCACATAAGTAGGGGACAGACCATAGCTTAATGTATCAGCACCAATAAACAATTTCCATAAACTTAATGATCCAGTATGATATCCCAGAGACTATTGAAATGCAAACCAAAACTAACAAGATTGGAGGTCAAGTACAATCATAAAACTTAAAATGCCAATACCCCAAAAAGTTACAACTAATGCTTGGTGGGTAAAACATCCAAAAGTCTAGATTAAATTAGATGTCCCCTATTACCCCAGGCAGAACACCACCTGAGCGAGAAAACATTTTCCAAATCAGAGTTAAGCAGGTAGTTACTGCAAGTGGATACAACATCTATCACAGTGTAAGTATCATTGAATATAGTGAAACATATGCCTCACATTCCACATCACATTTAGTTTCTAGCATGAAACTTCCATAGCATATAAGATCCCAGAAACAAAAATTAACACCTTTTGTACGTTAATCCCATTTAAGCTTAACTATACTTTAGATGATGATGATGACAAAAGACCCACCTCTGAAAAAGCACAGGCTCGAACAATATGCTTGTGTTCAAATGCGTGTAGCACATCTCCTGATAATGCATCCCAAACTTTCCTGCATACGAATTTGATGCACAAAATAAATCAACCTTTGATTAAATTAACTACAACTTAATTGACTAAACAAGCAATGGCAGGAGAATGGATGCTTTGGTGAGAGAAACACAATGTAAAAACATAATTGTGAAGTACGATGATAAGGTAAGGAAAATAGCAAGCGCAAAAGACACTTAAAACTTGGGAAACAAACTTTACTTAAGCAATGATGTGAAGAATACATGAGTGAAGAATGAAAGAAGTATAAAGAACTAAAAGAAACTGTTTGGGACACTACAGAAATTCTTGACACTTGATTATCGAATCAGGTACATTCAAAATTTTAAAGTAAAAGCATACAGATTTCCAAGCAAAGTTCTCAGGCAATAACCCATAACCACTTAACTCTAACCAAAAACAGGACACTAAACTCATTAATAGAATCAAGAGAAGCAACGCAAATCATCCCTGTACAAATTGAAACTACAGATATATAAAGATTGAAGGCATACGCAGAGAAATCTGCAGAAGCAGTTGCAGCACGTAGGGCATTAGTATCCAAGCAGCAACTCCACACTGCACCTTTGTGCCCTTCAAACGTTCCAATCCAATCTCCAGTCTCTCCGTTTCTCAGCATGGGACTCGAATCTGAACACAAGTGAAACTTCACAGATAATTTCCCACCAAAAAAACTTCAAAAGAATACAACAATATCTAAGAGCACTTAGGAACATTAACATGTCACATTCTCAATCAGGAAACATCTGTTTCAGCTGTGTCATATATCCTAATAACACGATTCACCAGATTACCACAACCATTACAATTCGTAATTTGCAGCTAAAAAGTTAAAAGAAAAAAAAAAACCAACGCTAGTTCAACAATCATCTATAAAGCAATCAACTTACACATTCAAACAGATAAACACAGCAAATTATACAGTAATGAAACAATAAATCAAAACCCACATCGAAAATCAATCGTTATCGACACATACCCTTACTGGCACTGATGAGGAAGAACCCATCAGGAGTAACCGGACTGTAAAACAGATCCACCACCGGACGCGAATGACCATGGCAAACCAGCGGAACCGCCACCTTCTTCTTATTATCCATCACTCAAAAGCTAAATATAAAAAATAAAATAAAATATCCCAAAAAACAAATATTTTTTAATTTTTCTTGATCTGTGTCCCAAAACTTCAAAATCCAAAAGAACCCTAACCCTAAAAGTATTCAATTTCTGTATACAGATTGAAATCGGAATCAAAAGATGTTAATTTGGGGGCAAATTGTACAGAAAGATGGAGCGAGAAATTGGCGGTATTTTGAAAGTACAGGTGGGAAATTGAAAGGAAGAATCCACACCTCCTAACCCTCGAAACAACAATGGCTCTGACTGAATCAAAAACTACAATTGGGGGAAATTACACGATAACCTAAATTTCGAAGAAAATAATAATAATTTAATCTAAAAGAAAACTGGTAATGTTAGACGAAGAACAGAGCAGTGTGAGACTAACGAAGGGCTAGGCGCAAGAGCAAGTGTTCGCATCGGGTCTGGGTTTTATAGGCTGAGCTTTTTGGGCTTTTTTTTGGGTCCGTATTCCGGATTCTGGATCTCGGTGGTGTGTTTCTGGTGGATTCAGCTTTCTGACCCGGATGTGGACAACCCGGCCAATGAATATTCGAGTGTCAAATTGACAATGCAATAAAGATGTTTTAGTATAACGTCATAAGATTGTACAAATTACAAATTTCAAACGTGAATTTCAGGAACCAAAGCTGCATCTTAAAAGATACGCTGCTTGAAAATAGTATCACGGGCATAAAGAAATAAAAAAGCACTAACATCTTCGGTCCCAAAATTAGAATACAAAGTATTCCACAATATTGACTCTTCAATTGAAGGATAGCAGATTGTTGATGTGGGCATCGATAAAAAAACATTTCTGAAGAAAACCACATGAAACAAAGCATGTTCACAAAAGTTATCCGCATGCTTGTTTGGAGCACGTTCACGAAGCATATTCGCCTACGTATTTGGAAGAGACCACAGTTTCTCCGGCAACCGGCGGCTTTGACAATATTTGATGACTAAAACCATATCCCAACCCAACCTTATGTCTGCAATACCATATATTTCATTAGACATATATTATTTTATTGGCATAGGACTGGAAGAGAATATTAGAAAGTAGAATTCCAAAGTGAATAGTGATTTTTTGTTGAACCATAAAATTTGTTAAGTTAACGATTAACTTAACAAATTTTTTAACAGATGTACAGTATTAAAATAAAATAATAATAAATATATGAGATTGAAATGTTTTAAAATTATTATATGAATTTGTAATTACATCGAAATATGGAGGTTATGAAATGTAATTTATCCTTAATTTTATCACAGTATTCTTTTACCTGCTTCATTTCAAAATCAACGGTGCCCGATTCGTCATGCAATATACGTATATTTCTTAATATTTCTTAATATGGCACGTCGTGTCTTGGTCACCGACTTGCTGTAATTGGGTTGATTCCCCACCGGTATTCCTTTCTGACTCACTGGTTGAGGAGACTCCCCAGCCATTATGTGGCTCTCTTGTAACTTGCAATTTCTTGAAATACAATACTACTATCGTTTTCTTAAAAAATAAAAAAAAATGTGTGATGTTAGGGTAGTATGAAAAAGAAATAGAGCGTATTAAGATAAATTTTAATTGAGAAAATAGATGTTAGGTGTATTTAACAATATGTGACGTGTACTCATGTTAATAAAACAACACATAATGTATTTACCAAACTTGTAATGGGATTAAATACCATATATAAAACATAAGTTGGCAAAGTTTGGAAATGTATTTGATGATAAGATGCAGCGTGAATTCACAGTTGTCGACCGATTGGTCTGTGACCAAACAGATAAGCACCAACTAATAGGTATATATCTACTTACATTAATTAAACAAACAAAAGGAAAAAGATGTTTAGTTTGTATCTTGGGTTAGCCCTGAAACCTCTGGTGGGTCCCAACCCTCGTTTGATTTGCCTGGGGAAGCTGTTGGGGCCATGCAATCCAAGACCAAGTCGCTGGTGGGAAGCAACAGTCGCAGTCCTCTTGGCACGGCCGTGGTAACTGGTAAGGCCCAGTTGCTTCGCGAAGTGGCCTCCTCCCCCTTGCCCTTGTTTTCCTGGTGGTGGGCCCCGCCTGATAATTCGCTAGAAGGTGCGGCGCGGCGGCGTCTATGAATGTGCCCCAGCACTCCACGTTGTTGAATTCTGGAACGCTCGAGTCGAAGTAGACCCATACCAAAGCCTCTTGCAGTTCTGGGTAGCCGTTGAACAAGTTGCGGTCCCCATGAACAAAGCTTAATGATGTTAAGCAGGTAAAAACCGTTTTTAAGTTCCAAAGCTATCTTCGGAATTTTGGTACTTTCACGTTTTATTTTCATTTCGCATTTAAACAAATTTTATGGTTGTTCTTCAATCATCTTATCCTACTATTCAATTAAAATTCAAGAAATTATCTCAAGTTTTTTATGTTCCAAAATTCTTTGTAAAGATGAGCGTTTCATATTATTTAAGAGAGTGTCATGCATCACTATGCCCTCCCAACAAGTGTTTGTTCATTTCTTCAGCCTTCCACATTTTCGCAGTTATAGCATGTGTGCATCAAAGATAAGATAATAATGAATCTATGGCTTGAACGATCGTTGTCATCAATTCTTTTATGTCATGTGTTTTTATAATTAATTAATAATAAACGTGTAAGATAAAATTGAAAAACATATGTAGTATACCTAACGGCCGTCTTTTTGAGTTGACCACTCTATCTGTCCCATAGCCATCTTTTTGAGTATTTATGAATTATTCCTATTTATAAATCTTTCTTTATAAATTAAATCAGCAAGTTGACTTTGAAATAATGTACTATAAATTCTTCTTCTTCAACCCATTTACTCCTCCAAATCCCAGACTTTTTTTTTTGTCAAATACGAATTCCAGACTTTGGTTTCTCCAAAAAATGTCCAGAACTCACAATCCATGTCAATGGCTTCCTGTCCTCCTCTTCCTTCTACAGTTTTTCCACACATCAAACGGCGATGTTGGCACTGCTGCCCAGTACCCTCCTCCATATCTACGTAAGTACACACGCGCGCACATACACACACATATATATGTATGTAAACGACTCTGTGAACCTTGATACATAATACATGTGTTTACTATTATATATGTTTAGCGACGGCATGTTTTGGAAGCGATTCGTTGCAGTTTCCGGCGAGTAATCTATTGGCTGCCGCCGGAGACGAAATATGGTACAATGGGGCGTCGTGTGGGAGAAAGTACTTGGTGAGATGCATAAGTACAGAACAAACGGGGACGTGTGTTCCGGACAAGACGATTCAAGTGAGGATTGTGGACTATGCCGGAGATATTAAGACAGTGCCATCAGTTTCCGGCACCACCATGGTCTTGTCCCAAACAGCCTTTGGATCTGTTGCTAATTCAACGGCTAAATCCATTAACATTGAGTTTCAGCAGTAAGTCCATCCATTTCTCATCACCTCAATTCCTTTTTATATATTGTTTTCTTTTGATAGCTAGAAAACCTTAATTATTCCTCTTAATTTGCTAACTGGGACACTATTCAAGTTTTATGCTTTGCTTAATTGTATATAGCTCCATGTATGTGTAAATCAGACAAGTTAGCTAAGACGGTATATCAACCTCCACTTGAATTTGATTCCCCTCCTAGCCTAATTATGTCTCCCTATAAGAAAAATAAAAAATAAATTGGCTAAAATGATTCTTTTCCACATTCCAATTTCTAAAAGATCAAAATTTTCAATATATCGTTGATATTTAATAGTTATGTCATCAATCTTTAATCTCTATGCCGCCAGTTTTAATTTTAATCGGTTCGTCCATTAGAATTTAATTTGTGATTATTTTAACCAATTTCTCTCTAATATATATTTAACTCCATATATAGCTAGACAAAAGCTCTATATATTTTCTCTCCATATAGAGGGTAGGATTTGTGTTTCTATTTTTTAATGTTCTTGCTTTTGTTTTTCTATGCAGGGTATGAAATGGAAGATGCAGAAATGGCGAAGGAGTTTGAATTTCCAATCATATTCTTCAGCATGAGTGGAAGGTGCAGCAGATATGGCGGAGACAATTCATGTATTTTTGTATTCTAGTTATATGTATTTTGATGAGGGGAGAATCTATAACCTGTTGGTTTTGTAATTTCGATTGGTCATCCGTAAATTGTAGGATTATGCATATGGGAATTTGATTATTTTTCTAAACAATGTGTACAAAAAAAAACAATGTCATTTTCATTTTTATTCTTCGTTATATATATGTTAGGTATATGTACTTGTTTAATACTTTTCATAACCAGGAACGCTACTCCTGTTTTCTCTTCTTTGTAAGCTACCATATCTTGTCAACTAGTCTATGTTTGCGGTGTGAATTAACTTTTAGCATAATATTGATATTTTTCTAGTACCTTGAAATTGGTTGGGTCATTAGTGAATATTTTATCAATCCTTCTAAGTACCTTGAACCTCCCAACATTTTAATGTCATTCCAAATTGATCTCAACCATTTTAAATATTTCAAACTAGCACCCAACTTATTAAAAATGCATTCATTAAGCCCCAGTTAATTTTTCAAACATAGTTTATATTCAAAACTCACCAACAAGGTATATCATGGTCAACATTAATATTAGTTGACTCAAAATCTAAATTTCAAACATGTATTATATAATAAGCAACCCAATGATCAAATGGGTATTGAAATGAATCGAAAATGAACCCAAATTTAAATTACAATAGGGGACAATCTCCTAACAAATAAGAGGGTTAAGAATTCAGATAGGGTTTCAAGGCGTTTTTTTTCTACTCATGTGATTTTCTCATTTGCCGATTCTCAGCTCGTAAAGTTTCCAGTTCTTCATTATGGACGGTGAAAATAGTGGTTGCCGCATCATCAGTCTATACCATTCCAACAACCTCCATGACCTTATTATCAAAGTTAGCGGCTTGAGTTGTGGGATGGAGTTTATGGTTTTGCGTAGTGTTTGGATGTGGTGGTGGTGGTGGTGACTGCTAGTTGGTGAAGGCTGTTTCCATGACCTTCTATTGCTTTTGGAGACATAGTGAGCTCCAATTAATTTAATAGATTTTTAATTGGGGCTTAACGAATATGACATTTTCAATAGGTTGGGTACTTGTTTGAAATGTTTAAAAAGATTGAGACCAATTTGGAATGACACTAAAAGGTTGGGAGATTTTAGGTACTTAATCCTAATTTTTTTTGGTCAAAATTATTCTTATATGTAAATATATAAGTAGAGTTAAGTTAACTAGAGTAATGTGCATCTTATATATATGTCTGTAGTTAGATGAATTATTCATTATACATAAAATGGTCAACCAAATTCAGCTTTATGTATGTGTTTTACTCACCACAAGAGTTTCGCCATGACATAGGGGGAAAATAGTAATGCTAGGGAGACTAAATTTGTAAACAAAATTTACAAACTAAATGATGTGTCACCAATAGAATGAGCATGTTTATCAACACTTAATTAAAAATCTAATCATCAACCTTCGTATTTTTAATTTACAAAATTTTACCTACAAATTCAGTTTCACTTGCATTAGTTGGGATAAAATTTTCTCACATCTTTTCTCGAGAGAGTAAAATTGTCTCACGTCTTTTCTCAAGTGTGGCTAACTGCACTTTTTAAAATCCTAACATGTCGTTCATGTCAACATTATTGATATTTTATTAGGAAAACTAATGAAACTAGTCTGAAAACTTTTAGTTTTAACGATAAAGATAAAATAAAGGATAAAGTGAATAGAACTATGATTGACTTTTTAGTGTAAAAATGTGATTTTTCATTAAAGTAAACAGTACCGAAAATTTTTCGTTAAAATTCTCTATTTTATTATATCGATACTTTGTTCGTGTCATCGTATATGTATATACATATGATATTATGCAGCAGAGCGTCAGCGAACAACATTTGAATCCCAGTACTTGAAAACCAACCACATGAAAAATATCCAGAAGGTGTCTGAGTCAGGCTTCACAGAATTCGAAATGTAACAGAGGACTGGACGTGTGTGTGCGGATCCTTGACTTGTATCGAATTTAGGTAAGTGGAAACTTCGAAACAGTCAAATAAGCCAGATATGGTAGTGGTTAATATTGACTTAAAAGCATTCAAGTCTACGACCAGATCATAATTTAACCCACGTAATCAACATGTTCACACTTCATGAAAAAAAAATGAAAAAAATTTGTAGCGAAAGATGAATTACAATAGAAATTTTTTTATTAATTTCAATTTTCCTCAACATGGGAGTACTTGAAGAGAGATGTTTTCTTTATGTATAATGATCATCTTTTAATCTCTTCAAAATGAAAAATTATTGTACCTTGAATACAGAAGTTATCAGTTCCGAGCCTTATGCTTGTGCATGCTATAGCTCAAGCGGGTATTGATGTCCATGAATGAAAAATCACTCGTTCTGTCAGTAGCGCGCTATGCTTCCAAGAAAGCTTGGGGGTCGTTAAATCTTGACTTCCTAGTAGTCAATGAGTTCTCAAATGTTCGATAAATTTTTCAAAAGATCGGGTACACACACATAAGCATAACAGGTAGTGTTTCCAACTAATTACTTACATACACTTGTAAAATAACAATTACAACAGAGATATCTCTTTCAAAAATTAATTGTTTTGATAAAAATAATAAAAAACAGTCATTAATCGATTCCAATTCCCCAGATCAACCAACCACCCTTTCTCCTCCTTCCCCTTCCGCCCCGACTACCATTTCCACCATTGCTCCCGTGAAATCATCCATCTCATCTTTACAATTTTAATCATGTTTAATCATTTTGTAGATCAATTAAATATTACCAAAATCAAAATAAAATAAGAAAAAACAATGATTGATCTACAAACCCTTAAACATGATTAACTGATCAGGATTCAGCTGACCTCCCAAGCCCTTAAATCGGAGGTCGGCGACAGCAGATCTGAGGGTGCAGCCGACTACTCTCGGGTTACATGTCAACATAAGAATGGGAGAGAAAAGAGGGAAGAGGGGAAAGAAAAGGAGAAGAGAGAAAGGATAGGGTGTCGTCGACAAAGTCACAGGGCGGCGATAGAGGTGGGTAGTGGCTGGTGTTGTGGCACTACTACAAAAGGGCCTTATTGTGTACGTGGGTGGTGTCGCTTTTATACAACATAGTGATGGATAAGACATTCCGACACCCACTTAATATGGTATCAGAGTTACTGTCGGTTATAACCGACATAAACTGTTAATGTTGCTTATAATCAACATTGATTTTAATATTTTTAATATTGGTGTCACATTAAAAAAAAATTGTGCCGCTTTTAACCAACATAACGTTAGCGTCGGTTAAAAGACAACTGGTGTCGCTTATGACTGACACTAATGATAGTTTTTAAATATTTTCAAAGACAGTGTCGGTTGTAGCCGACATAGGTTTTAATTTTTATTAAGAATTTTGAAACCCGGTGTCGGTTGTAACTGACATAATATTAGCGTCGGTTAAACGAAACATTTTCAAAGCTGGTGTCAGTTGTAGCCAACATATGTTTTAATTTTTAAAAATATTTTGAAAACAGTGTTGGTTGTAGGCGACGATTGGTGGCCTTTATATACCCTCCCCGTGTTTTCTCTTCCTTATATGTGACAATGTGGTTGGAACATTGCTAGATATAGAAAAGTCTAAAGATGGATTGGCTGCACGTGTAGATCTTGAAGTCTTGAACATAAGACGTAGTCAACACCCACAAAGAGAAGGACATAGAACATTTTGACATCCAGCATTGTTCATGTTGAAAAGAGAAAAAAAAAAAACTGCCTTTTGCAAAGTATTATTTACTATTTAGGTCCCCGATGGATATTCATCAAATTTGTCGTAGAAATGGCGAAGAAGGGGCTTGAATTTCCAATCATATTCTTCAGCATGAGTGGAAGGTGCAGCAGATATGGCGAAGACAATTCATGTATTTTTGTATTCTAGTTATATGTATTTTGATGAGGGGAGAATCTATAACCTGTTGGTTTTGTAATTTCGATTGGTCATCCGTAAATTGTAGGATTATGCATATGGGAATTTGATTATTTTTCTAAACAATGTGTACAAAAAAAAACAATGTCATTTTCATTTTTATTCTTCGTTATATATATGTTAAGTATATGTAGTTGTTTAATACTTTTCATAACCAGGAACGCTACTCCTGTTTTCTCTTCTTTGTAAGCTACCATATCTTGTCAACTAGTCTATGTTTGCGGTGTGAATTAACTTTTAGCATAATATTGATATTTTTCTAGTACATTAATATTTTTACACTAAAGCGAAAGGAGTTCGGCTAAGCCACATTATGTTGACATTAATTAACGAATATTTATATAGTTTGATTATTTTGGTTGTTAAATTGGTTGGGTCATTGGTGAATGTTTTATCGATCCTTCTAAGTACCTAAAACCTCCCAACATTTTAATGTCATTCCAAGTTGGTCTCAACCATTTTAAATATTCCAAACTAGCACCCAACTTATTAAAAATGCATTCATTAAGCCCCAATTAATTTTTCAAACATAGTTTATATTCAAAACTCACCAACAAGGTATATCATGGTCAACATTAATATTAGTTGACTCAAAATTTAAATTTCAATCATAAATTATATAATAAGCAACCCAATGATCAAATGGGTATTGAATTGAATAAAAAATGAATCCAAATTGAAATTACAATAGGGGACAATCTCCTAACAAAGAAGAGGGTTAAGAATTCAGATAGGGTTTCAAGGAGCTTTTTTCTGCTCATGTGATTTCCTCATTTGCCGATTCTCAGCTTGTAAAACTTCCAGTTCTTCATTGTGGACGGTGAAAATAGTGGTTGCTATATCATCAGTCTATACCATTCCAGCAACCTCCATGACCTTATTCTCAAAGTTGGCGGCTTGAGTTGTAGGGTGGAGCTTATGGTTTTGCGTAGTGTTTGGATGTGATGGCCTAATGGTGGTGGTGGTGGTGATCGTTAGTTGGTGGAGGCTATTTCCATGACCTTTTATTGCTTTTGGAGACATAGTGAGCTCCAGTTAATTTAATAGATTTTTACTTGGGGCTTAACGAATATGACATTTTCAATAGGTTGGGAACTTGTTTGGAATGTTTAAAAAGATTGGAATGACACTAAAAGGTTGGGAGATTTTTGGTACCTAATCCTAATTTTTTTTGGTCAAAATTATTCTTATATGTAAATATATAAGTAGAGTTAAGT